ACCAGTTGTGTTGGATGGTCCGGTCAGGCTCAAATTTCCCGCATGACAGGGAGATTCGAGAGTCCGCTTTATGGCTGGTCAGGAATCGTTCACGTGGCACGTGAATCTGGCGGTCAGGGAAGGGAACGGAAAATCGCCGACTGTGTACTGCTCGCGTGTCGCCTCGTCGCCTCAGTGGCTACGCGAGTCGAACAACACCGACCATTTTCAGCGAGCTTTCCGTTAGACAAACGCGGGAGTTGCGGGATTCCTCTAGGTGAACGTGTGACTCGGTAACTTTGTGACCGTCGATTGTCATCTCATCTGAAGCCCCCCGTCACAGCATACATTGGGAACGCGGGAAACCCAATCGTTTGAATATGAATCTGTTCTTCCAACCAATGGGAGCGAAGAACATCCTGCCGGGGAAGCAAATTTTTGTCCAGAGACTCCCTGCACTTCGACAATGAAACTGACGTTGTGGATTGAGATCCAGATGAAGGGGGAACTTTGCGAGGCCGACGATTTTCCACGGGGTTCGCAAAACAATGTTACTCTATTTCCGTCTGCTTGGAGAATTCGCATCTGTACTTCAACGAACGAACGACAGGTTTGGGTTCCTGACGAACTGCATCGTCGAACCAGACAACCAAGTCATGCGTGGAGGGAGCACTGCTTGGAAACGTCGTTTGAAGTCGGCTCGTTTATTATACGGTACTATGCTCGTATACATTCATGTTTTCCAACTTTCATAAGAAGTGCTACTGCCTGGACAGCGACAATTGTCTCCTTTGAGGCGTGTTTGACGCGGGCCGCGTAAAACTCCAGAATCCTTCCCAGCCTGGCAAATCAAAGAATGGCCAAGCCACTTTGTCGTGCCGTTGAAGCATTCAGCTCCTCCTGTCTCCTTGGAGGACCATGGTGATCAGATCAGGTTGCCCAGATTTCTTGCCCAAACCCGGCGAAGCAAAAGCAAGCCTCACCAACCGACATTCCGCGGGCAGCATGGCTATCCCAACCAGACATCACACCACCACCACTCAACAGCGGCAACGCGACAAGCGAACTTTCGAGCCGAACCAGCCCCCGAGGCACCACCACCCTACAAGCCTCATTACCGGACCTGGTGATGGTAACCACCCTTCCCACTCACCCACCGCCCCCCACGGGCGTTCGTTATGCACAGTGTGTTCTTCGTCGCGCCGACAAGACAGGCATGCAGCAGCACCACCAGTGCTACACTCTCACGGAATTGGGCCTCCCCCAAGCCAAGTCCCAATGGACATTTGGCGCGGATCTTTCCCAGCCTGGCACTCACCCAAGCCCACTCGTCTGGGATGTCTCATCTCGTCTCATCACCTCTCCCACCCGAACCGAACCCATCCCATGCCAACGACCCGATGTGGTGGTGCTGGTGGTAATCGTCAAGCTCTACAAGTTCAGTGCAACCATACCACATACCACATCAGTGGTACTTCAATTTTGACGATCCAAAACGCAGCGCCTATTGTCTCATCAACGTGTTCTTGATTTTCGCCCCATTTCTCTTCTGCAGAAATGGCTACGTTAGATCAATATCCAGCTGTTAGAGAGTCAGCAGAATCGTACTACACGGATCTGCCCCGGGTTTTCCCCCATCCGTCTCGTGATCAAACCCTGGACCCCCATTTTTCCTCGCTCCGCACCCACAATCCCCCCATCCACAAACGCAAGGAGCGTAGCGTCTCCCCTCCTTCCGCCACCGCTCCGACTACAGGCGCTTCTGGCGAATGTGGAAGCGAAATCACAGGCGCTTGGAAGACGCAGACCTGCAATGCCGCAACCTTCGCATCGCCCCTTGAATGTCCGCCGCCTCTCGTTGTTGTCGCCGAGTGTCCGCACGATTGCGCCGCCAGCAGCAACTGCGCCGCTGACGACTGGCACCGCTTTGCCGAGTACGCGACGCCGCGGGACGTCTATCGACCCCTTCCAGACGATTTCCGCCAACGCTCCGCCGCCGCCGCCATGCGAGAAAGTGGCGCAGGCGCAGCAGCAATGACGCCTGAGAGCCTTGAGGTGCGATCTCTCGCGTCGGAGGTCCCGCCCACGTTCTGGGAGGCGCAACAAGCGCAGAAGCAGCAGCGCCCGCACACTGTGCCGCGCAGTGGCGTCTCTTACTTCCGCAGCAGCAGCGGTAGCAGCAGCAGGGCTCCAGGGTCGCCGCTGGGAGCCGACGGTATTTCCAAGAACCGCGCTGGGAATGCGTTTGGAAGAGCTAGTAGAGCACAATTGCAAGGGACGCGGGGATCCAGATCGCTGGCGGCGAGAGCGTTACACCACTGCTCGGCTCGTGAGCGCAGCGGCAAACGCGACAATCTCAGTGACGGTGCGATTATCAACGGTGGGGATGCAGACGCGGTTGCGGCGACTGGCACGGGTTCTCCCCTGCCGAACCGAAAGTTCCTGGCTAGGACGTTTAGCGGGTCTGTGGAATGGCCGTCTCGGCTGGAGAGCCTCTTCATGCGACCAGGCTCGGGAAAGGGCAAAGCCCTTGGAGACACCAGTGGAAAAGCAGGGTTTTTCATGGGCAGCGGAAGAAGATCATATGTGGAGATTGACGAAAAGGAGGAAGCAGAAACGATGGCGGCTCAGCGAGGCAGAAATGAGATTACTAAGGGGGTTAGAGGAAGGATTTTGCCACAGGACGGTGATGAGTGTGATGAGGGGACTGACGGATCACCAGAGGGCGGCCTGGAGGTTCCTCAAATAATCACCTGTTTTGGGAGATCTAGATTCTCACCGTTGTTATAAGTGGATGTTCCTCACTCTTGAGAGGTTTGACTACGGTATTATATTACACATCCCCGAATTCACTTTATCATTTGTGACATGTATCATATGGTGTACGATATTCACTTTGCATCTCACGTGGGTTGTTTTGACGGGTACCGCTATCGTTACGTTCTCGAACGTCAAATGTGTAGAAGAAACACCGCACACCACCCCGTCGTATATCACAAGTGTGGGAGGGCAGCTAGCGGTGTACTCTGCCCGCCCAGCATAAAACCCATGAGCCGTCCCCCCAGGTTTGGGTGTAACTGTACAATCAAACCTCTAAACGAAAACAGCATGCGCTTCGCGAATCAATGAGTGCACACTGTTCGGAACTGACCTTCGCGAAACTCACAAAGCAGTAACCAGGCTCAATGTACCGTACCTCAGTTCCGAACCTATACCTGGCTTGCCCTGCGGCTATATCTAGGTTCTCCTCGCCCAGCAATAACTGCAAGCACCACAATTTCTTTCGAGTCTGCCAAACAGAGGGAAACAGCAGCACCCACTCACCCCCACACACACACTCACTCACGCACAGATAACTCGGTCAGCCAGCCCTTTTTTTCGCTATTTACTGTAGGTTCCTCACCTCACTCGAGTTAGGGCGAGTCAGAAGTTAGGTTCGTGTGTGGTTGTTGAGGCTTTTGTCCGTACCAGGCGTTGCAGTTGGGAGTGTAGTGTCGGCGGAGATTGCGTCGCGCCGCAAGTTGCGCCATTTTATCACCATGCGTGTCGCATAGATACCCTAAAGCTCGCGATAGGATAAGATGCCTAGTTTTCGAGTCTGGGTTGCGTTTACATGGTTCTTACCTCGTGGCGCCTATGTAGCCCAGTCACCCAATGGCCTCAATCTTCTGTATCATAGCTTGTAGGCAAATGCGAAACCCTATACGTGATTCGCAACCTCAATCGACTAATTATTTTATTGGTTTTCTTAGCGCATGCTTTCATTCTGGCGTCAGTTAAGGCCCGCTCGTTGTTCATCGTAGACCATGCAGTTTTTAATCGGCTAAAAAATCTGCTCTTCGTTCCTTCATGTTAGGCCATGGCGGAAACGTGGACGGTTCTAGAAGGTTTCTGAGGCGACTCAAAAAAGAACCCGCTCATTGTTCATGTTAGGCCATGGCGGACCCGACGACTGTTCTAGAAGAGGAGTTCGACGAGAACTACGAGCCGACGCAGGAAGGTGAGCTAACGGATACTGTATACTCGTTACTGAGTAGCGTAAAACCGACAGTTTTGGACGAGGAGTCGTGCGAGAGGTTTGAGCGGGCGCGGAATAGATAGCTGTTCTTCCTCCCCTGCAGCAGGGATTAGGGTTACTTTTCGATCGTCAAGGCGCAACCCTGAGCTGTCTATGCACCAATGACAATCGCCCCTTCTATGGCTTTCTTTGCCGCCGCACTCCCTTGCTCTCTCGCTCTCTCGCTCTCTCGCCTTCTCCCTCTCGTCCTCTCTCGCTCCGTCGCGCGCTCTGACGGCGTTCAAGCAACCGTTACCCGAGGCACCATGCGCCAGCGCCGGCTGCTCATCGTTGCGCTGCGTGTGCCACTTTTTAGAACTCTGGAAAGCGACAAACTAGTCAAGCAGCCGTTAGCCGAGACATCATGCGCCAGCGGCGGTTGCTCGTCAAATCATTGCGTCTCAATGATCCTCGCAGAGCGCTTAGACGACATTAGAAAAAAAAGGGCGTTAAGATGCATGGCGCTGAAGTTCACCGCGCGTAAATGTACCTCGCGTCAATCCACAGCCGTCCGCGGCTTTTCCGCCCGTTTCTCCCGCGTGCTGTCCCCATGCGTCCCTGCGCGTCCCTGCTCGTCCCTGCGCCGACTCCACGGCGGCGGGCTGACTGCGGCTCATCTCGTTGCCGCTGTCTGTCTCACCATGAACACATACTCTTTAGTCGACTCATAAACTGTGCCGCCGTCAGTCAATTTGCTGTTAATCCGCGCATACCCGCATCACGCCTTTTCGAGTACGCGCAGTGGCTACGCGGGAAGAAACCGGAGGAGCAGCAGTTACTGTGGGTGTCGCGATCGACCACCAGGGTTATGCTAATTCCCCTCTTTCCTTTTCCCCCACCCCAACCCCCCCAAACCAATCCCACCACACTCCCTCCACAGCTCTCCTTCCCCTCCCCTCACCCCTTTCTTCCGTCTCCGCCATGCTCCCTCCACCGCTCTCCCAAACATTCTCGAGTACGCGCAATGGCTGGGCATGGAGCTACCGGAGGAGGAGGAGCTGCTGTGGCTGGCCCATCCCCTGTCACCCCCCTCTCCACCCCCTGCCACCCCCTTTTCCCTACGTCCCTCGTGCCGCCCCTGTGTGCTGTGCCCTCCGCCTCCCCTGCTCCCCGGCAGACATATTGGAGTACGCACAATGGCTGGGCATGGAATTGCCGGAGGAGGAGGAGCTGCTGTGGGTGGCGCATCCCCTGTCACCCCACCTTCCATTTGACCCCAATTTCTGCGTCCCTCATGCTGCTTCCGTGCTCTCTCTGCCTCTGCTGCTCCCCGGCAGACATTCTCGAGTACGCGCAATGGCTGGGCATGGAGCTACCGGAGGAGGAGGAGCTGCTGTGGGTGGCGCGGCAGGGGCTCAAGGCGCCGCTGCCGCCCAACTGGAAGCCATGGTGCGTGCTTCGTCTCTTTTGGTGTGATGTGCCGTGGTGAGAGGTCTTGAGTTGATTGTTGGGTCTGGTCTGAGCTGCTGTGGGTGGCGCGGCAGGGGCTCAAGGAGCCGCTGCCGCCCAACTGGAAACCATGGTGCGCGTGTGGCGCGTGTGTGTGTGGCGCGTGTGCATGCGCGTGTGCGTCCGCGTGTGTGTGTGGTGCGTGTGCATGCACGTGTGCGTCCGCGTGTGCGTGCGTGTGCGTGTGCGTGTGTAGTGACATGTAACGTTCGTGTTGCGTGCGTGTGGCTGATGGCATGCTAGATAGAGGGTCTCCCACCCCACCCCACCCCAACCGAACCCTAACCGCTTCCTGCCCCACCTCGCCCCTTCACCCCTTCCCGCATTACCAGTCGCACAGACGACGACGAGATATACTATTTCAACTTCCAGACGGGCGAGAGCGTGTGGGACCACCCCTGCGACGACCACTACAGGTGAATCAACGGCTGTGATTGTGTGTGACACGTGGGATGACGAGTAGCCTTAGACGCGTGATGCCAGTAACCACATATCCCGCTGCTGCTCTTCTCCTTTGACCGTGTTGGTAGTGCAATGCTTGACAGACCTGATTGATCGATGTCCTCTTTTTTCTGCAAATCCCCTCATCCCCCGCTCTCTCACACACCCATCCAATCGCTCTTACCCACCCACCTCTTGACTGTCCCGAGAGCCCTGTACACGGAGGACGAGAATTAGCTCTAGGCCAAGGCTGCTAATCTGAGAGCTTATCCCCTTCCTTCCCCCTTCCCCCACCCCCTCCCCCATTTCAACCCCCTGCGCCCTTTCCCCCCCAGAGCGCTTTACACGGATGAGAAGAACAGAACAAGCTCAAGGCAGCGAGAACCTTGTTCTAAGGCGTTACCCCTTTCCTCCCCACCCCCTCCGCCCTCCCCCCTCCCCCCCCACCTCCTCTCCCCCCCAGAGCCCTTTACACGGATGAGAAGAGCAAGCTCAAGGCAGCAAAAGCAGCAGCACTGAGGATTGATCCCCCTTCCTCCCACCTCTTCCCCCTCTCTTCTTTCCCCCGCCCACCTCTTCCCCACCTCCTCTCCCCCCCAGAGCCCTGTACACGGATGAGAAGAACAAGCTCAAGGCGGCAAAGGCAGCAGCAGCAGCCACCAGTGGCAGCAGCAGCCGGAGGGGGGCGGGGGGCGAGGAGGCGCGGGGGAGACGCGAGGAGGAGGGCAGGCGGGGGGGACAGGGGGGCGCTCGTGGGGGAGGGGGAGGGGGAGGAGGCGGAGGAGCAGGGGGGAGAGGCGAGGGAGGGGGGAGAGGGGAGGGAGGTGGGAGGGGGGAGGGAGGGGGGCGGGGAGAGCCAGGGGGGCGGGGAGAGGGAGGAGGAGGAGGAGGAGGAGGGGGAGGAAACGGGTCAGCAGGAGGGGGGGGAGGGGGAGGGGGAGGGGGGATGAGGGAGGGGGCGGCGGTGAAGGGGGGGGCGCGGGATGGGCTGGTACGGCAGGCGTCTCTGCCCCCACAGCCTAAGGAGGAGCATCGTAACAACCTCTTTCGCCAGGGCTCGCTGCAACCGCAATCCATGCTGCAGGTGGGGTGGGGGGTGGGCAGTGCAGGTGGGGTGGGGGGAGAGGTGCAGTGCTTGCTGCAGGTGGGGTGGGAGAGGTGCAGTGCTTGCTGCAGGTGGGGAGGGCAATTCATGCTGCAGGCGGGGCGGTGGCTTTCCCAGTGGAGCGGGTGTTCTCAATCGCATGCTCTTCTCCCATCTCCCGAACCCTTCACCTTCCTCCTTGCCCATCCCTTAACCTTTGAGCCGACTCAATAGTCAACTCGCTTTCCCAGTGGAGCGGGTGTTCTCAATCGCATGCTCTTCTCCCATCTCCCGAACCCTTCACCTTCCTCCTTGCCAATCCCTTAACTTTTGAGTCGACTCAAAATTCAACTCGCTTTCCCAGTGGGGCGGGTGTTCTCAATCGCATGCTCTTCTCCCATCTCCCGAACCCTTCACCTTCCTCCTTGCCAATCCCTTAACTTTTGAGTCGACTCAAAATTCAACTCGCTTTCCCAGTGGGGCGGGTGTTCTCAATCGCATGCTCTTCTCCCATCTCCCGAACCCTTCACCTTCCTCCTTGCCAATCCCTTAACTTTTGAGTCGACTCAAAATTCAACTCGCTTTCCCAGTGGGGCGGGTGTTCCCAATCGCATGCTCTTCTCCCATCTCCCAAACCTTTCACCCTTCCCCATGCCCATCCCTTCCCCCCTGCCCATCCCTTCCCCCGTGCCCATCCCTTCTCCCATGTGACGCTCCCACCCGCAGCGGAGGCGGAAGGTCGTCCCCAAGGGCTCAAGAGACGCCTCCTCGTTTTAGTCGCCTCAAACATGGCCTTTATTGCCCTCCACTCCAACCCCCCTTTCCCTTCCCCCCCCCCCATCTATTTCCCTTCCCCGTGCCCATCCCTGCCCCCGTGCCCATCCCTTCTCCCACATGACGCTCCCACCCTCAGCGGAGGCGCACGGTCGTTCCCAAGGGCTCAAACAAGGCCTTGATTGCCCTCCACCCCGGCCCCCCATTCCCTCCCCCCCCCCCCCCCCCCCCCCCCCCCCCCCCTCTATTTCCCTCCCCCATGCCCATCCCTGCCCACATGACGCTCCCACCCTCAGCGGAGGCGCAAGGTCGTGCCCAAGGGCTCAAGAGACGCGCCCTTTGTTGAGCCTTGACCCTCCCCCTTGCCCATCCCTTCCCTTTCCCCCCTGCCCATCCCTCCCCCCATGACTCTCTCTCTCTCCCCTCAGCGGAGGCGCAAGGTCGTGCCCAAGGGCTCAAGAGACGCCTCTTTGTTTTAGTCGCCTCAAACAAGGCCTTGATCGCCCTCCACCCCGCCCCACCCTTTCTTCCCCCCCCCTCTCCCACCCTCAGCGGAGGCGCAAGGTCGTCCCCAAGGGCTCAAGAGACGCCTCTCCCGATTCGCCAAACGCAGGTGCATGTCTGTAGGGGGTGGAGTGGAGAGGGGGAGGTGGGTGGGGGGAGGGTGAGCGGAGGATTGGGCTAGCATGAGGGGAGTGCAGGCGTAGGGTGGGTGGGGGGGAGGGCTGGGGAGGGTGGGGAGTAGGGCTGGGGAGGGTGGGGGGGAGGGCTGGGGAGGGTGGGGAGTAGGGCTGGGGAGGGTGGGGGGGAGGGCTGGGGAGGGTGCGGGGGAGGTTGGGCTGCAGCATCTCAACATGAGAGAAAAGCAGGGAGTTGCTGTTTCTCCTCCTCACCCCAGCCCCTCCCTCGCCCTTCCCTGCCGTCCCATGCATGCAGGAGTGCCACAGGGGCGGGGCCGCCTCTCCATCACAGACAGCTCAGAGGATGATAGGGGCATGGCACGCTCTGCTGCTGCTGCTGACTCTTCTCCTGAAACTAGCCCCACCCACCCTCGCCCTTCCCTGCCGTCCCATGCGTGCAGGAGTGCCACAGGGGCGGGGGCGCCTCTCCATCACAGACAGCTCAGAGGATGATAGAGGCATGGCGCGCGCCGCTGCTGCTTCCCAGCAGCAGATGCGGCTTCAGCAGCAACAGCAGCAGTTTCAGCAGCAGCAGCAGCAGCAGCAGCAGCAGCAGCAGCAGCAGCAGCAGCAGCAAAGACAGGGGAGACAACAGCAGCAGCAGCAGCAGCAGCAGCAGGAGCAAGGGCAAGGGGGTAACCAGCAGAGCAGGAGGCCACCGGCCGGGTCGGGAGCAGGGGGAGGGGCAGGTGGGGGTTCAGGTGCTGGCGATAGGGGAGCTGGAGGTGGAGGTCCGGCGGCTGGAGGGCCGGCGGCAGGTTCGGCAGGAGGTTCGGGGCAGGAGGTAGAGCTGCTGCATCAAGTCACGTGGTCTCCAGAACCTGGGCAGGGTCGGCGGTCTCCCATGGCTAGCTCTCTGACTCGGGCGGGGTCTATGGGGGCTGCTATCAAAGGGAAGCCTACAGTTCTGGAAGAAACGGATGGTGAGCGGTGCTGAGTGGTGCAGGGTGGTGATGAATGGTGCACGTGTTTGGTAGGTAATGGTGGATGCTGGTTGAGGGGTTATGTGATGGTGTGAGAGTGATGGATGGCTGGATATATAGATGGGCGGACGGACATATAAATGCTTAGCTCCGTGCGTTTTTTAAGCTTCGAATTACGACATGCCTTTACCTAATGTCCCACTTGTCTTGTCTCATGCACCCGTCCCTGTGTTCCCCTTATCTAGCAGAGGAGTGGGAAACGTCTGACGACGAAACAGGCACCAGACCCCCTTCGTCCGCTTCTGCTGCTGCCGCTGCTGCATCAGCATCAGCACCAGGTGCAGCAGCAGCATCTGGAATCCCAGCCTCCCAATCCCCCGGTGGTGTGCCTATTGCTGCTGGGGCCGGGGGGCAGGGAGCAGGCGCAGGGGCAGGGGGGGGGGAGGGGGAGGGGGAATAGGGGGAGGTGGGGGTGGTGGTAGAGGGGGCGGCAGAGGAGGGGCAGAGGGTTACCACCAACAGCAGCAACAGCAGCAGCAGAAGCATGGGATGGTGCCTCGGAGGTCCGGAGGAGTGCCGAACCAGAACCAGGAGGTTCGGCGAGGAGGAGGAGCGGCAGGGGGTGGTGGGGAGGGTGGGGGCAGGGGGGAAGCAGGCAGCAGCAGAAGACCAGGGAGTTCCGATAGGGGGGGAGGGGAAGTGGGGGGAGGAGGAGCGGGAGCGGTGGGAGCAGGCGTGAGTGGTGTGGGGGTTGCTGTGAAAGGGGGAGCAGAGGGGAGGGAGGGCAGGGAGGGGAGGGAGAGGAGGGAAGAGCGAGGAGAAGGAGTGGGGGGAAGGCAGGAGGGGGAGGGGAAGGAGAGGCGGAGGTCTTTGGAGGGGCGGGGGAGTGGCACGGGGGGGGAGAGGGCGGGGGAGAGATCTGCAGAGAGGGGGGATCCGAGGGATGGGCGGGGGGGAGAGGGGGCAGGGAGAGGAGGGCCAAAGAGAACGAGCAGCACAGATGCCCAGGGGGGAGTGGGTAACAGTCAGGGAAGCAGTCAGGGCATGCAGGGTTACTCAAGGGGAGGAGCGGGTGATGCGAGTCAAGATGCACAGCAGAGAGGTGAGTGATGCACCAAGGATGATTTTAGGCGCCTCAAAAACCGCCGCGTGGACTGAGATGATTTTTGAGGCGCCTCAAAAGATGCCCAGCAGCAGAGAGGTGCGTGATGCACAAAGGAAGCGTTAGGGCAGCTAGTGTAGGTAGCTATGGCGTGTGAGTGAGTGAGCCAAGGGTTATTAGTGTGCGTGTGAGTGTGAGTGTGATGTGATGGATGTAGAAACATACCATCCTCCCACCATGCCGTCTCTCCCCCTTGCCCTCTCTGCCCATTCCATCCCCACTCTCACACCATCGATTCCCTCCCTGCCTCCACATCCCCCATCATCTGCCCAACCCCCCTCACTCTCCCTCCCTTCCCCGGCCTTGTTTCAGGTGCCCGGGCAACACAGTCCGCTGCAGGCTTTTGAGACGTCTCAAAAGTTGCCCAACCCCCTCTCCCTCCCTCCCTTCCCCGGCCTTGTTTCAGGTGCCCGGGCAACACAGTCCGCTGCAGGCATAGCCAGACAGGTGCGTCCTGCAGGCTGGAAGGTGCCTTGAACTTGCAGGTGCGTCCGGCAGGCTGGAAGGTGCCTTGAACTTGCAGGTGCGTCCTGCAGGCTGGAAGGTGCCTTGAACTTGCAGGTGCGTCCGGCAGGCTGGAAGGTGCCTTGAACTTGCAGGTGCGTCCTGCAGGCTGGAAGGTGAGAATTCTCAAAAGCACACCGGGCAACACAGTCCGCTGCAGGCATAGCCAGACAGGTGCGTGCTACAAGGAAGGAACACAGCCTTACGCAGCAGGCAGGCAGGTTGTTGTGTCAGCCATTGCACTGCCCCCGTGGCTTGTCCTTGCCCAGTCCTTCTTCCTGTAAGGCTTTTGAGACTCCCGTCCTGTAGGGACGCCTCAAAACTCCTCAAAACTTGAGACATTCTAAAGCCTTGAACGGCAGGCTGGCTGGCTGTGCCAGTTGTTGCGAGAGAGGGTCTTATTCTCTTCTTTCCTCTCTCTCTACCCCCACCTCCCAGGGCTCTTGGGCCAAACCAGCAGAGGAAGCAAAGCAGCAGCAGCAGCAGGGAAGGGGCGCTGCAGCAGCAGCAGCAGCTGCTGGTGCTGCTGGTGGTGCTGCGGGCGCTGGTTCTGCTGCTGGGGCCGGTGTGGCTGGGGCAGGCGTTTCTGGTGCAGGTGGTGGTGGTGGTGGTGCAGGTGGTGCTGCTGGTGGTGCTCGCAAGGCGTCTGGGCTGGCTGATGGGCGGCTTGCAGGGGGGGCGCAAGGGGGAGGCGCAGTGCAAGGGACGGTGCAGGCGGGTGGATCTGGTGGTTTACTGGCGGCTGCAGCAGTGGAGAGACAGAAGCGGGAAGGAGAGGAGGCGGCGGGTAAAGGAGGGCCAGCTAAGGTGGGTGTGGCGGGTGGGAGGTGGATGGAGCGAGGGGGGAGAGTAGGAGGGCGAGATGGCGTTCTCCACCAAATGAGATACTTTTGACTACTTCTTTTGTTGTTCTTGACTGCCTCTTTTGTTGTTCTCCTCGCTGCTCACCTCACCTCTCCACGCTTTATTACTGCCGCCCGTAACCCTCCGTCTCCCCTGCCTCTCACCCCCTGTGTGCTGGCAGGAGCGTGAGCCTCTTGGTCCGGAGCCCAAGGATAAAGACGCTGATGCTGAGGTATGGAGGAGTGTGGCTGGTTATGGAGTGGTGTCAGGGGGTATGGCTGTGGGTAGGTTCGTGTGGAGCAGGGAATATGTGGGAGCGTGGGCATAGCTCGGTTAGAAACAAAACAGAGGCGTGCCATGACCCGCCCTGACCCGCCCTGATTTTCTTGCCCTGTCTCCTCCCCTCTCCGCCCATTCTTCAGGGGACGTCGAAGTGACTCGCCTAAGTGAGGCAGCAGCAGCACAGACTATCTCGCCTAAGTGACTTGCCCTGTCTCCTCCCCTTCCCAACTATCTCGTCTTGTCTCTCCCTCCCCCCCCTTCAGGACGATGAGGTGACTCGCTTAAGGGAGGCAGCAGCAGCGGCACAGAGGCGCATAGCACGGTACGAGGCGGAGTGTGACTCATCGTCCTGTCTCTCCCTTACTCTCTCGCCCTGTCTTCCCCTCCCATTGAGATACTACAGGATGACGAGGTAACACGCCTTCGCGAGGCAGCAGCAGCAGCACAGAGGCGAATAGCACGGTACGAGGCGGAGTGTGACGGGCGGCTGGCAAAGCTCAAGGCGGAGAGGGAGGCGCTGGTGAGGCGCAGAGAGGCGGAGATCACCCGGCTAGCCGAGCAGCTGGGCACGGTGAGTGCTGCAACGTGCAACTGCTTCCGATGCTTGCTGATATATCGCCCCTGTCCTGTCCATCCAACCAGCCCAGCCCAGCCCGTATGACGCCTGTTTGATTAGACTCAATCATCGGCCCTTCCCCTGCCACACACCCTCCCGCCCTCCCAACCAGCCCTTTGATGCGGGAGCTCTCACCCAAGCTCGCAGCGTGGCAGTGGACGAGGGGAGAGCGCTCATCACACGGGAGAGAGACGACTTTTGAGTCGACTCAAAAGTCACCCCGTAGTGTAGCAGTGGACGAGGGGAGGGCGCTCATCACACGGGAGAGAGGCGCAGCCGTGGCAGCAGGCAAGGAGGAGGTGGAGCGGGAGAGGCAGCGAGGCTCCGAAGCTTTTGTGACTTGATTATCAACACTTTCCATTTCCATTCGCACGCCCCTTTCCTTCCCCACCCTCGTCCCCTTCCCAATCAGCCCTTTGATGCGGGAGCTCTCACCCAAGCCCGTAGTGTGGCAGTGGATGAAGGAAGGGCGCTCATCACACGGGAACGTGATGCAGCGGTAGCATCAGCCAAGGAGGAGGTGGAGCGGGAGAGGCAGCGAGGCAGTGAGGCAGTGAGGCTTATATGTATCAACCCCCTTGTCTTGCCCCTCCCAACCAGCCCTTCGATGCGGGAGCTCTCACCCAAGCCCGTAGTGTGGCAGTGGACGAGGGGAGGGCGCTCATCACACGGGAACGTGATGCAGCGGTAGCATCAGCCAAGGAGGAGGTGGAGCGGGAGAGGCAGCGAGGCAGTGAGGCAGTGAGGCTTATATGTATCAACCCCCTTGTCTTGCCCCTCCCAACCAGCCCTTCGATGCGGGAGCTCTCACCCAAGCCCGTAGTGTGGCAGTGGACGAGGGGAGGGCGCTCATCACACGGGAACGTGATGCAGCGGTAGCATCAGCCAAGGAGGAGGTGGAGCGGGAGAGGCAGCGAGGCAGTGAGGCAGTGAGGCTTATATGTATCAACCCCCTTGTCTTGCCCCTCCCAACCAGCCCTTCGATGCGGGAGCTCTCACCCAAGCCCGTAGTGTGGCAGTGGATGAAGGAAGGGCGCTCATCACACGGGAACGTGACGCAGCGGTGGCAGCAGCCAAGGAGGAGGTGGAGCGGGAGAGGCAGCGAGGCAGCAGTGAGGTACTGGTGGCTCAATCTCTAACCTCTCTCCTTCCACTCTCCCCTGTCCCGTCCTCCCACACAGCCTTTTGATGCGGGGGCACTCACACAGGCTCGTAGTGTAGCAGTGGACGAGGGGAGGGCGCTCATCACACGGGAACGTGATGCAGCGGTGGCAGCAGCCAAGGAGGAGGTGGAGCGGGAGAGGCAGCGAGCCATGGCCGTGCTCCGAGAGGAAGCTTCCCTGAAGGTGGCTCTGGAGCGGCGGCACCTGCAGGTGGATCCTCAGGTGGTGGCGCTGGTGAATCTGGAGGAGGTGGCCCGGCAGCAGGAGTTTCTCAACCGCTGGCGGGCGGCTCTGGAGCAGGAGAATGTGAGTGGGGGGATGGAGGGTACAGGTATGGGGATAGGAGGAGCAGGTGAGGGGGGAGGGGGGGTGCAGATGAGAGCATATGGGCTGGGATGGGAGGTGTTGGTGAATCTGGAGGAGGTGGCCCGGCAGCAGGAGTTTCTCAACCGCTGGCGGGCGGCACTCGAGCAGGAGAATGTGAGTGGGGGAACGGAGGGTACAGGTATGCGGATGGGAGGAGCAGATTAGAGAGGGGGGGGGGGGGGGGGGGGCAGATGAGAGCATGTGGGCTGGTATGGGAGGTGGTGGTGCTGGTGTTTGTGAATGTGGAGGAGGTGGCTCGGCAGCAGGAGTTTCTCAACCGCTGGCGGGCGGCAGTGGAGCAGGAGAATGGGATGGAGGTGAGGGGGTGGGGGGTGGAGTGGAGGTGAGGGGGTGGGGAATGGGGAGTGGTGGTGGGGTGGTGGTGTGTGGGGTGCAAGCCGTACTCACTTCCGTTTACCTCACTTCCTTTACTTCTCCCTCCTTTTCCCCTTCTTTCTCCGCCCCCAGCCGCAAGTCCTAGCGAGATGGAAGCCCGCGGCAAAGAGGAAGAGCAGCGAATTCTTGAGCTTGCAAACATGAAAGCATCAAGCCTTGCCCCCTCCCCCTCTCCCTCTTTCTCCCCTTTCTCTCCTCCCCCTAATCTGCTCCCAGCCGCAAGTCCTAGCGAGATGGAAGGCCGCGGCAACGGAGGAAGAGCAGCGAATGCTGGACCTCGCCCGGAGAGAAGCAGCAGCACGCGTGGAGCGAGTGGTAGAGCAGGAGGAGCGAAGAGAGCGGGAATCCACCCTCAAGGGAATCCGAGAGCGCGTGCGGGCGAAGCTAGGGGAAGAGGAACGGCGGATCGTTGCCCAGGAACGGGCGGAAATGGCTTCTCGTGTTGCCGAAGCTGTCGCGGAGGAGCGGGAGCGGCTCGTGGAGGCTCGGCGGAAGGAGGTGCTGGATCGGGCGGAGCGGGAGGCTGGGGAGGAGGCGGAGAGGAGGAGACAGGCTCGGTTGCTGGAGGCTTGGAGGAGAGTAGAGGCTGAGGTGGAGGGGGTGCAAGAGGAGGGGTGGGAAAGTGTGGTGGGGAGGGCGAGGGGAGTTGCAGAGGAGGCTGGGATTGCAATGGATGGAGAGAAGGGGAAGCTGCTAGAGATTGTGCGGTGGTCGCTGGAGGAGGAGAGGAAAGAGTTGAGTGAACAGAGAGTGGCTGAGGTGGTTGAAGCGTTAAAGGAGGAAGAGAGGGAGGTTGTAGCGCGGATGAAGAAGGAGAAGGGGGTGAATGGGGAGCTGGTGGGTGCTGATGGGGTTGGAGGTGCTGTGAGCGCTGCTTTGAAGGCCCGGGCAGAGGAGGAAGCTGCTGGCAAGCTGGAGAGGCTGAGGAAGGAGGCGGAGGAGAGAGTGAGGGAGCAGGTGAGAGGAGAGGAGGCTGCGTTGCTGGCTAGAAGGAGAGGGGAGATGGAGCAGAGGGCGGAAGCGCTGGGTAGAGGAGGGAAGGGCGCGGTGATTCAGCTAGAGAAGGATTTATTGGAAGGGGAGCTAGGGGAGAAGATTGCGTTGATGAGGAAAGAGGCGGAAGAGAGGGAGGTGCGGGAAAGGGAGAGGCTTAAAGCGAGTATAGAGAGGCGGCTAGAGGAGGCTGTGGAGGGGGAAGAGAGGGCAATGGAGGGTGTGGTGGAGGAGAGGAAGAAGGAGATGAGAGAGAGGGCTAGGAGGGCAGTGCAGGAGGAAGAGAAGAAGCTTCTAGAGGAGATGCGAGCGCAGGTTCGGAAGAAGGTGGAGGATAGGTTCGGTGCCGAGGCTGAGAGCTGGGCAGGTTCGGTGAGGGAGGAGTTGATGGAGCAGGCGAAGAGGGAGGTAGAGGAGGAGGTAGAGGAGTGGCGGAGGAAGGAGTTGGCTGGTGCTGGGGTGAAGGGGAGTGGGAGGAAGGGTAGGAAGAGAGGAGGGAAGAAGGGGAAGGTGGACGGGGGAGAGGAGGAGGATGAGGATGGGGAGGAGGAGGAAGAGGAGGAGTTGGAAGAAGAGAGGGAGGTGAGGAGGCAAGAGATGATGGAGGAATTGGAAGAGGAGGTTGAGACAGAGAAGCAGAGGCGGTGGGAGGAGATGGAGGAGGAACTTATCGGCCAATGGGAGGCCAAGAAAGAGGAGCGGCTTGCTGAGCTGGCGCGGAAAGTGGACGCTGACGTGGCAGAGGGGTATGAGAAGTTGAGAAGGGAGAAGGAGGAGGAGATTGAGAGGAAGATCTGGGAGCAGAAGGTTGCTGAGGTGGACGGGCAGATTGGAAAGTTGCTGGAGGAGGAACGGGCAGTTCGGCTCCAAGCTGCCCGGAAAGTCATGGATGCTTCGTTAAGAAAGCAAATCGCGAGTGAGAGGGAGGAGAGTCTGGGGCAGATGAGGAAGGAGTGGGATGAGATGGAACCAGAGCAGCAGGAGGCGTGGGTGGTGCAGCAGAGGGAGGAGAAGGGGCGGCGGATGGAAGAAGAGATGAAGAGGCGGGTAGAAGAGGAAGTGAGGGATTATAGAGAGAGAATGCTGGCGACAGTGGCGGCAGAGGAGACGGAGGTACGGTCGAGAGAGAGCAACAAGAGAGACCTGGTGAGGATCGAGCGGGAGTATAAGCGGCAGAGGCAGGAAATGGAACTGAGGGCGTCGCATGCTCTAGAGGCGTTTAGAACGGATCTGAGCGTGAGGCTGGAGAGAGAGAAGTTGAGACTAAGACGGGAAGCGAAGCATGCTTTAGAGAGGTATGAGATCGAGCTGGATATTAAGGTGGAGAAAAAGGTGGAGTCTATGAGGGTGGATCTGCAGATTAGGTTAGAGGCGATGCGGAGGGAGATGGAGGTGACTCTGAGGAAGAAGGTAGAGGAGGAGAGAGTGAGACGGCTGGAGATTCTGAGTCGCGAGTTGAAGGCGGAAGAGAGGGAGATGAGGCGAGGTTGGAGGGAGCTTATGGCGCAGGAGGAAGCCAAGGTGCGAAGGCGGTACGAGCAGAGGAGGAATCTGCTGAGTAATGCACTAGAGAGCGAGTCGAGTGGTGTGGAGGGGAGAGGGGGCGGTGTGGGGGGAGAGGATGGGAAGCAGCAGGGGAGGAGGGGAGCAAATCGGAACCCGCACCAGCAGGTTGGGTTCGGCGGGTTAGGTTCGGGCGGGGTGCGGGGGATGGGAGGGGGGATGGGGGGTGGCGGAGGAGGGATGTTTGGCGGGATGGGGAGTGGGATGGGGGGGATGGGGGGGATGAGGTTGATGGATGGGAGTGGGGGAAGTGGAGGCGGATTCAGGCTTCTAGAGGTGGCTAATGAGAAGGTGGGTGGGGGCGGGGAGGGTATGGGAGGGAGAGGAGGAGCGGGAGGAGCGAGAGGGAGAGTGGGAGGCGGTGGAGGGATGGGAGGGATGGGAGGGGGCGTAGGGGGAATGGGTGGGGGTAATATGGGTGGGTCGTGGTTGGACGAGCTAAGGAGTGGCGGAGAATCAGATGTGAGTTTGAGTCATGGGTTGAGTGCTAGCAGGGAGTTTGAACCAGGGACAGGGGAGGACAGAGGGAGGAGAGGCAGAGGGAAGGGGTTGCGGAGGAGAGGGGAGGGTGGGGACGGGGAAGAGGGAGAGGAGGAGGAGGAGGAAGAGGGAGAAGGGGAGGAGGAGGAAGAGGAGGGAGAGGGGTTGGATCTGGGGCAGGGGCGAGGGGGGCTAGGGGGAATGGTGGAGGAGGGAGGGTCGATGTCTGAAGAGCCAGAGCAGCTGGAGGGACAGCACGACCGGCAGCAGCATCATCAGCAGCAGGAGAAACTCAACGCAGCAGGAGCATCAGGAGCAGCAGCAGCGGCAGCGGCAGCGGCGGCGGCAGGTGGGGCAGCGGCAGGAGGGGCTGCAGCAGGGGCAGGGGCAGGGACGGGGGCGGCGGCAGCGGGTGGAGAGGTGGGTGTGAGTGCAGCGAGTGGGCTTGGGAGTGCTGAGCCGGATCGATCGGACGAGGCTGATAGCAAGAAGGATGTGGACTCACTCCCCCCAGAGGCCACAGGGGGAGGTGGTGCAGCATGGGGCGCAGGGGGGGAGCGGGGAGAGCGGGGGGAGAGGGGGGAGCGGGGGGAGGTTGGGGCGGATGGGGCTGGCGGGGTGGATGTCGGGGGGAGAGACGGAGGAGGAGGGGGGAAGGCGGGGGGAGAAGCAGCAGTGGCCGGCGCAGCAGGGGCAGGGGGGGAAGGGCAAGGAGTAGCAGCAGTAGGCTTGGGACCACACCCACTGGGATCTCCTGACGATTCGGGAAGCAACTTCGGGGAAAGTTCCTCGGAGCTCCCGAGGTTGACGTTGGGGGTGGCGGGCGGGGAGGGGGAGGGCGCGGGGCTGGCGGGGGATTGGATGGGGCGGGGGTGGGCGAAGCCGGGGCAGAGGCGGTCGAGGAATCGCAACAGCGGGAAGGCAGCACGACAGCCGAACGACGTCGCGGATTATTACTCCGAGTGGAGCGAGTCGGGGTCTGACCTGGTGAGCTCTTCAGTTCCTCTCAACCGTTCTCCACTCCACTCACATCCTCTCAACGCTTCGCAACTCCCTCTGAACTCCTCTCTACCCCTCTCGACGCCTCTAAGTTCTGTCTGTTTCTGTTTGACCTGTATCTGTGTGCCTACAGGAGCTAGCGGATAGGGAGTTCAGGCCAGGGGGCGGCAGGAAGGGGATGGACAACGGAGACGAGCTCTTCAGTCCCACCAACCCCTCTCAAGTCCTCTCAACACCTCTTAACTGCTTTTCACGTCCGTCTGTCTCTGTGTGACCTGTGCGCGTGTACGTCCCTACAGGAGCTAGCGGACAGGGAGTTCAGGCCAGGGGGCGGCAGGAAGGGGATGGACAACGGAGACGAGCTCTTTGATGAGGAAGGCGTGCCCTTCAGGTGAGTCTTCAGGTGTTCTTCAGGTGCGTTGTCAGGTGCCCGTCAGGAGGGTTTTCAGATGCCCTTCAGGTGAGTTCTCAGGTGTTCTTCCGGTGGGTTGTCAGGTGTGCTCCATGTGACTTATCAGGTGTTTTTTGGCGAGTTAGTATACTTCAGGTGAGATTTCAGGTGCCTTTCAGGCGAGGCTACTTCTATGTGGAACGACAATCCTAAACGCCTGTCATTTGGAGTGTCTGCATATTAAACTGAATCTGCATTTGTTTCACACATCTTCCCCTCCCCCCCCTCTCCCTGTCCCCTCCCTTCCTCCCTCCCCATGCGTCAGGGAGCGCGCGTCCATGGTGGAGCAAGCAAAGATATTCGCAGCGGAGCAAGCAAAGATATTCGCAGCGGAGCAGCAGAAATACCTCAAGGAGCGCCAGGCTGTCTCAGAAGCTGTTCCATACTGCCCTGCTTGTATCCCCCTTGCACGGCACGACTGGCTGATTATCCCCCTACTGCCTGCCCTGCCCTGTTCTCGCCCTGTGGTGTGCTGTGCCCATCAGTGAGCGTGCATCCATGGTGGAGCAAGCAAAGCTACTTGCAGCGGAGCAGCAGAAATACCTCAAAGAGCGCCAGGCAGTCTTCAGGGCCTGCCTGCTTGTATCCTGCTGATTACCCCCATATTCTGTCCTGTTCGCCCTCCCTTGCCCCACCAGTGAACGAGCATCCATGGTGGAGCAAGCAAAGCTGTTTGCAGCGGAGCAACAAAAGTATCTCAAGGAGCGCCAGGCTGTCATTGAAGCCGCCCGGCAGGACTGGCAGGGCCTTCCCTCCCCATACTGCCTTGTTTATGTCCTCCCTACCTCCCCTCATCTCATCCTGTGCTTCCCCCGTGCCCTCCCCTCCTCCCCATCTTCCCTTTTCCTCTTCCCCTTGTCCCTTTCCCTCTCCCCCTGTGCCCCATCAGTGAACGAGCATCCATGGTGGAGCAAGCAAAGCTGTTAGCAGCGGAGCAACAAAAGTATCTCAAGTATTCTCGAGTTGACTCTCTACTCAATCCCCCTTCCCGCCCGGTCCCTCCCACCCACCCACCCCACATCCACCAGTGAACGAGCATCCATGGTGGAGCAAGCAAAGCTGTTTGCAGCGGAGCAGCAGAAATACCTCAAGGAGCGCCAGGCTGTCATCGAAGCCGCCCGGCAGGACTGGCAGCGCCAGATGGCTGCCGCCCAGGAGGTCTCAGATGAGGACGACAGACGCCGCCGCATCCAGCACCTGACGGATCTTAAAGCCACGTTGGACCAGCACGTTAGAGAGTTGAATGATGACGCCAGGCATGTTAGTCAACTCAAGAAGAATCTGCTAAGCTTTTCGAGGAATGGGGCGAATAGTGGGGCAGGGAGTGGGCCCGGTGCGGGGAGTGGTGGTGGGAGCGGGGATTTCGGGAGGGGAGGGAGGGGAGGGAGAGGGGAGGGAGGTAGGAGGGAGGGGGGAGTGGGAGGGAGGGGAGGCGCGGGCGGGAGAGGGGAGGGGGGCGTGGGGATTCCGCCAGGTGGCGGCGTGAGATTGGATCAGAATGGGCCGCTGTTGAACTTCCCGCCGGATGCGATTATGTCCCGAGCCTCGTCGTTTGCTTCGGCGAGCATGGGTCGGGAGAGCTTTGATATTGATGAGATGATGGGCGGGCTAGGGCTGGAAGGGCCCTGGTCCAGACCTAGCCCCCGAAGCAGCCTCGGAGGCACGGGGGACATGATGGGAGGAGGTTCGGGTGGAGGAGGAGTGGGGCCGGGCGCGAGAGGGGCTGGGATGGGGGGGGGAGCAGGGGGGGGAAGTGCAGGCTTGGGGATGGGAATGGGGATGGGGATGAGGGGCGGCAGTGGTGGTGCCAGCAGTAGTATGGGGGGAAGGGGATTCGGTGGGGGGATGGGAGCAGGAATGGGTGGGGGGGGGATGGGTCGAGGAGGTGGGATGGGGGGAGGAGGGATGGGGGGAGGAGGGATGGGGGGGATGGGAATGGGGGGAGGTGGGATGGGGGGAGGGCTGGGGGGAGGGCTGGGGGGAGGGCTGGGGGGAGGGATGGGGGGAGGGCTTGGAGGCAGGGACTCGTGGTTTGATGAGGTGTACGGGTCTAGCTCTGCTGTTACATCGCCCACTCTCTCCCCGCCCGGCATTGCGGGCAGAAATATCTTCCAGGGGGAGTTTGACCTGGGGGAGGGGAGTGGCGGAGGGGGGAGTGGCGGGGGGAGGATGGGGGGAGGAGGAATGGCAATGGGGGGAGGAGGAGGGATGGGAGGAGGGGGGGGGGAGGAGAGGAACGGGGATGGAGGAGGGAGGGGCGAGGAGGGCCGGGGGAGGGGGAGGAGGAGGGGGAGGGGGAGGGGGGATGGAGGTGGAGGGCGGAGGAGCGGAGTTCAAGTTCGGGAATCTGCTGCCCGGCTCTCAAGCACAGCCCGATCCCCTGTGAGCCTCTCTCAAGCACAGCCCGATCCCCTGTGAGCCTCTCACTTTGCCCCCCTCTGATTGCTAAATGTGTCTCGGGGGAGTCGACTCAAAAGTCAATTTGCCCACCTCTTCTGAATCGACTCAAAGGTCACCTCGGGGGATGCTGTGCTGTGCTGTGCGCTCTTGCGATTGTAGCCCCCTTCCGCTATTTCTCTTGAGCCCGTACCCCTTGTGGCCAGTATTGTTGTGTTTTCACGCTCTACTTTCTCCCTTCTCCACCCCTTTCTACCGCTCTCTACACCTGCAGGCGCAGGAATAGGGAAGCGGCTCGAGCAGCAGGCAGTGGCAGCGGCGGCGGCGGTGGTGGTGGGGGGGGTGGGGGAGGGGTTGCTGGTGGTGGTGGTGGTGGGGGTGGTGGTGGTCTATTTTCTCTTGACGACTCACCCACAGCTCGTGACATGGACGGGCGGGGCGACTTGAGGGCTGAAGGAAGGGTGGAGGGGAGGGTGGGTCGGGATATGGAGGGGAGGGAAGGGCGTGAGGTGGAGGGGCGAGGAGGGAGGGAGGCGGGCGGGAGAGCAACGGCGGCTGGGCATCGGTTGTCGAAGCTGCAAGACGAATCGGGTGTTGGGAGTGGCAGCGGCAGGGAGCAGGTGGGTGAAACACCGACTCAGGTGAGCAGGTGTTGGGAGTGGCAGCGGCAGGGAGGGAGCAGGTGGGTGAAACACCGACTCAGGTGAGCAGGTGTTGGGAGTGGCAGCGGCAGGGAGCAGGTGGGTGAAACACCGACTCAGGTGAGCAGGTGTTGGGAGTGGCAGCGGCAGGGAGCAGGTGGGTGAAACACCGACTCAGGTGAGCAGGTGTTGGGAGTGGCAGCGGCAGGGCAGGGAGCGGGTGGGTGAAACACCGACTCAGGTGAGCAGGTGTTGGGTGTGGCAGCGGCAGGGAGCAGGTGGGTGAAACACCGACTCAGGTGACCAGGTGTTGGGAGTGGCAGCGGCAGGGAGCAGGAGAGAGAGACATCGTATGTGTGTGTGCATTTGGGGGTGGGGGTGGGGGTGTGTGCGCGTGTGTGTGCTGCCTTGTACGGTATGTGTGTGTGTATGCTGCTGTGTATTTTCAGTCGTGTCTGTTACGCAGATAGGTGTGAGATTAGCTGCAGCGTGACCTCACGATTGGGTGGACAATCAATTAGGATTTCCCCACCCTCCTTCCTCCATTGTTTCAGGCGTCTCGGCAAAGAGGAGCGCACAGCAGCTCGGGTCAGCATCAGCAGGGCCGCCGCTCCTCGATGGATGGATGAGCTCTTAGAACAGACACCTCGAGTCAACTAACACCACCAACACTCGAATGTTTTCTAGAGAGCCCTTTGGAATGCCGTTGTTTTCCTCAACACAATTATTTGTTCATTTACCTTTACAGCATTGCTCGGCCAAGTAGCCCGCAATGGCTTCTAATTATGGATGTAAGTGCTTGCCATTGTTGCCTGTATGGGAAATCAGCCTTTTATTATGTGTAATTCTGTAAGAATAAGTGTAATTGTAGCTCGCTGTTCCCGCGTTTATCAAAGCATGGCCGGACCTTTCGAAACTGCACACGAGCCAAAAAAACGAGCGTCCAGGCGCTGCGAAAGTGGGGTCTGTCACCACCGGCTTCGCGGGCTTTCGAGAAACGGCACGGGTGTCTCATCTTCGACTTAGCATGCGTAAGGGGGAAGTGCCCATCAATCCCGCGCAGCCAATGGTACATTCTGCTCGCATGTGCGATTCGCATTCCCAATTCGGCGACTCGAAATTTCTCTCAACTCCCGCGCACCGCCTGGTCGCACATCAAATTTTTGAATGCGCCTGACGATGAGTCGACATGACATGCGCTGCTCTCTCCCTCACCCGCTTCTAGTCATCTAATCTATTTGAATATCAGCTCCACCAAATGAACAATAGCGCATTATCTCAATCCACGCGAAGCATCTTGGACTCGGTTCTTCATTTCAGGCCTTCACGATTTTTTGGGTCAATCAAGCTGTTACTCATTTTAAACTATGGCGACCACACCTCTCTCCCCGTCGGCCTTTCTTGGCGTGCAGCTTAGCTCGCGACTTCCCGCAGCATGTGACACGACAGGCGACAGCTCTCTCTCAGGCAGCAGTGCTGCTAGGACCGCCAGCACGACGACGATGGCGGTAATGGGCCCCTCGTGGCCGCATTCCGATTCGTCGTCTGACTCGTCGCAACACTGGCTGGCGAACCCTAGCGACTCGCAGAACGTACCCCCGGCGACGCCCGATTTTCATCGCCCTCATCGCTCGCTCGCCTCCCCGCCAAACGCGGCCAGCGCTCCTGCTGAGGCTGACGTGGCTGGTTCCCTTCGGGCGAACCGGCTTTTGAGGATTCCGCCAGTCGCGCCGCAACGCACGCTTCCCGGCCTAACACTCACCCCTAAGAAGACGAATAAGAAAGCCCTGGTTCACCGCGGGCCGGATGGGTCAGTCCCAGTGCAGATTAACGCGGGAAAGGCGCCGGTATTCACGGCAGATAAGGCGCGGAAGTTGCGGGAGATGCTGAAGGAATCGGAGACGCATCACGACACGATGTACCACTCGGGTATCGCATCGAGACTCGCGCAATAGTCTTTACTCGCGCAATTGTCCCGACTGGCAGACGGTCTTGCAAGTGATTGCAGCGATGCTAGCAGTGCACCCGGGATATGCAATCAGAGATTTCCCAACGGCCTCATTCGCCAGTATTGACATCGACACTCCGAACAAGCAGCCTGCTCCCTGTCTGGTGGAGTCCGGCTTCCGGCCTGCTCATTCGGCCAGACAGACCCGCTCGATGGCATTCACATGTTTAATTCATCATGATTCGACGAACCTATGCGGTTGACTGCGGTCAGTGCGGTGGTTCACCCTAACTCGGACTAACCACCAGATGTGGCTGGTGGATAATTTTGCACCCTGTATTGTTCAGCCAAACACCCAATTTTGCCCTGATTGGGGTTAATTATATTATGTTGTATTGCGGTACACCATTATACTGGATATACAGCATGTCGTGGCCTTGTTTTCTCCCAGCAGAACAGAGAAAGAAATGTAGTGAGTTAGTGAAATGTCGAGTGAAACATATATTTTGAAGAGCTACACCGCAAACTTAGTGGGAGGCTGGGACATGCGAGCCGTTTATTAACGAATACACCCGGAAACACCCGCAGAAGGCTCGCGCATTCGACATTTCCAGCGAAGGTACGACCCTGCCATGTCACCTCTCTCCATCTGCTCCCAGCTCAGCACACACCCTACACACATCCCACAAACCAATTTTCCTGCTCCTCAATCTGTCACATCCGTCCGTCCATTGGCTCGTGGTTGAATGCCATCTCCCCATCGACTCGCGCCACGCCAATTGGTAAAAGAAGTTCCGACAGGGCAGACGGAACGGAAACCATTCTACTGAGTGGGTGTTGGGAAACTTACGCAAGCAGCTAGTGTCTTAGGTTGGTGCGAGCCTCGCACGACGCCGTGGCGGCTAACACAACGCCGTCGTGACTACTTGCGCTGTACTCTGCGGAATCCGCGACGATTCGGTGAGGCGACGATTCACCAACCCTCCGAGTACTCCGGACCGAGTTCGTTTCACCCTTCTACAGCATGGCGGCGTTTGCGCAAGACGCGGCGGCGTCAGTCGCGGCGGCGGGTGCGGCTCCATCTACCGGGTCAGGATCTCTCTCATCGCTCCAAATTCTAACCTAAACACGTGACGCATGCACACCCACGCGTCTGCAGTCACGCACACCGACGTGGCGTCCCGTCTCCTCGTTTTCCCCGTTCCCAGTTTTTCTGATTCCCCGTTCTCCGTTTCTCCGTTTCACCATTCGCGCTTGTGTACCACGAAAGCAGGGCAGAGGCCATTCAACCCGCGCGTCGGTTCTCCAAGGCGCCTGACTACTCGCTCGTCACACCCATCCTCTACGCGCCTCTCTTCCCACTAAGTACTTTCTTGCCACCCCTCCTTCTCGAGCTTGACCCGAACATCCCGCACAGCCCGCACAGCCCGCACAGCCCGCCTCCACTTAATTCCTGTTCTCCCGGAGTCTCTGCATCCCCCCGCGCCATACGCCAAATCGCAGATTCCGTCAGCAAGAAGGTTCGTTCATTTGCTGCTCGCGCTCCGTCTCTCATGCGCCGCCCTCCCGCCTCCCCACTGACTCCCCCTGTCTTTCCCCTCGGCGCTGTTCCTCCCGCCTCCCCGGCAGTATGGTACGCATCGCATTACTTTGCGCCACAAGCCCAAGCTGAGGCAGTTTTCGACGCGCATAAAAAATCCCCTCCCCCCACCCCCCCCCCCCCCTGTCTTTCCTCACGGCCCTGCTTCTCCCGCCTCCCTCCCGCAGTACGCATCACGTTGCGCCACAAGCCCAAGCTGAGGGACCGACTCTTCGTGACTGCTGTGGCCAGCGCGTTCCTGCACGGCGCTTACATGAAGTACGTGGGGTTGTTATGGTGTTGGGGGTGTGGTATAGTGTGGTTGAGTAAGGTCTGATGGTGTTGGGTGTGGTATAGTGTGGCTGAGTAAGGTGTGATGGTGTTGGGTGCGGTGGGGTGGTATTCGGTACGAATCACGCTGCGCCACAAGCCCAAGCTGAGGGACCGTCTCTTCGTGACTGCTGTGGCCAGCGCGTTCCTGCACGGCGCTTACATGAAGTACGCGGTGGTGGGATGGGGTTGGGTGCAGTGCATTGGTGTTTGGTGCGGTGCAATGGTGTTGGATAGGGTGAGATGGTGTTGGGGGCGGTACAATGGTGGTGGGTATTGGGTGCGGTGCGATGGTGGTGGGTGTTGGGTGCTGGGCATTGGCTGCAGGTGTTGAGTCCTGCAGTCAAGAATTGCTAATGCTCCATACATTGGATTTGTGGTCGCAAGTTGAATTCACTATAACACCTGTTGTGTCCATCCTCCCCGTGCCCTTTCCCACGTCCACTCTCCCTCCAGCTACCGATTCTATAATGCAGAGAGCTATCAACAATCACAAAGAACCTAAGAACTGGCGTCGCTCAAGTATGCACACATCCGGGCTTTTGGTCTACTTATGTGATGGAAGGGCTCAAGAGAGAAAGCACATAACAGCATCGACCGTTACCATTACCTTATGTATTTGAGGCTTGGGAGGGACTACATGCAGCCAGCCATTAGTGTACTGATTTTAGCCAGCCCTTCTTTCGGCCAAAGAAGTTTTCATTGGTGCTTCTCTATACATGGAATGATTACATATGATACATGGATTGCATGCATTACAGTCCCGTTGCCTACAATTGACGCACTATATAGCTTAGCTTATAATATGTGGGAGGCAAATATATATTTACTATCGTACTCACTATAGCAGCCTTCAGAAGATTCACCAACGTGTTGATTGGCTCCCGTTGTAAGAACTAGCAACTGGGGAGCTCTTTGGATCGAAACAGCTACCCAAGTCATGCAGGCTGCTGCAGCGGCTCCAGTTCGTGCAGCTGTCAAAACTACTCCCGCTACAGTCACTCCGCATCTCCCCCTCCATCTCGCCCACGAAATTCCACCACCCAGCAACATCCCCCACCCCGTTCGTCGTGGGAAAGAAAACCCTGGCTTCTGCTAACCCGTCGCGTTCCCCTGCGTATCCCGCGCCTCCTGCTTCTTGCGCCTCCGAAAACCCAAACGGCAAACGTTCGCGCCGCATTCCCCGCTCCCTGATTTCCATAGGCTCAGCAGCAACAGCATACCTCTCTTCGGTAGTCCTCCCTCTCCACGATTCCAGAACTTGCTGCTCTCGCGCTGTAGCTTGTCCAAGCAGCTCAACTGCTCTCAGATCGCCGTCCGCGTTTTCCGCCGATCTTGCCGCCGGCAATCCTCGCAATACAGCATCCTGCTGATCAGGTGCTTGCGTCAAATGCTGCGCGCCAAAAATTTCCTCTGCGATGGACAGAATCTCCATGGAGGGAGAGAGTTTTAAGGCGGAGTTCCGGCGCTTGACGCGTCGCGGGGGCCTGCTGACGTGGAAATTGACGTTGACGTCCGCCGCCAAAGCGTGGAGGTCTCTCAACGCAGCGACGCCGCCAGTGTCGGAAGCCATGTCTCGAGAAACTCACGAAAATGGCTTCAAAAACCCCGCTCAATGATCGTCAACTGTTGAGGCGCCTCAGAATTCGAAAAATACTACACGTCCCCACACTCGAGTCTGTGCTCGCCGTGGTGTCCTCAAAATCGACCAGACACTCCGGTCAGTGTTCGTCGTGTTCGGTGCGTGAAGTGATCCGACGAGGGCCTAGAATCGGAGAATGTGACGAGCAAATGCGAAGCCCG